TCATCGATAAAGTACAGAAGTTTCAACATATGGCGTACCTTACTAGAAGTACCTCGAATTATCACGGTTCGACGTGTCTTTATGACCGATGTTAGCGACCACCAGACTACTAAGTACAAGCAAATGTATGTTACTATCTATTCATGACTTGCAGGGGCCCAGTCAGTAATTTCCACATTACAATGAAATACACGTACTTGCGACAGACAGATGAACATGGTAAACAGTTGAAAAATTAAGGCATGAGCTGTGGTAAAACAGGCTAATGTTTTGTCGCATAAAAAAACCCGTTTCTGAGATGGTTAATATTTCCTGCTGCTAATCCCCAAACACGTTGTTGGGAACTCTACGACCATATCATGAAATTTGTCGTTTTTGATGTTTGATTATATTCCAATAAGTGTCGGTCGAATGTTTGCAGTATCAACAATTCAGACACGAATTGCTAAATGGTTTTTATACTGATAGTCGACATAAGAGATGTCTTAATCGTTCAGAAGAAGGAAATATTAAATAATATTATCATCATTTCTAAATACAGGATATATATGTATCAGCCTGACTGTACAGGTTAGCTGCTCGAATATATAAAACTTGCCCAAATTTTATCAGTAAAAATCCCGTCGGTAACTGGTATAATTAGGCAAAATAAAATGTATGCTACATGTACCAGGCATAAACAAAATCTGACATTCATTGATTAAAGGTCATTCGATCTACAGAGAGAATTGAGATTTATGCAATTTATTAGTTTCTCTTGCTCTAATAGTACCCTTAACGGTGACTGGCCGGGAGACACGACTGAAACCCAGCCAGAATTATACAATACTAAATTTGCATTCGATAGTGTGAATGTACGAAAAAATCCATGGACACTCTCTTATATAATTTCCTTATGCTTGTCCAATATCTAGTTTTTATATACAATATTGTGCTGACAACCTGCTACGTTTCAAATATTACTTAGGAGGAAAGATAGTGTGTTAACCCAAAAAACAAACTGCATTTATATAAAGTCTGACATTCATTGATTAAGGATGTACACCTCTGAGAAGTCAAAAATTTCCTGTGCTCGTGTTTGTGCTATGATCGGCCAAAGATACCAATTTAACACAATATGTGATTTTAGGTGAATTTTCGGGTTTTGCCCATTTGCAGAACAAATTCATACAATTTCTTTAAAGTGTGTTATCAGATATGTATGAATGTTTGTCGAATTGATAAAAATATTATTTTCTTTGAAACTATGGAAGTAAAATTTCTTAATCTTATTCATTTTACTCAGAAATGCGATTTTAGTTACCCCTACCCCTTATTTTTTAATGACAAAATGCACATTTTTCACCATTTTTTGCAGATTAAACGCTTGATATAAAAATATCCTGTATTAAACTTTTTTAAGTATTCAATGAATCAAAAGAAAATGTGTTTCTCTGTCTAAAACAGACACAAAAATGGGGGGTCGGTGTGCTTTTTTTTTGTCCCATTATTATTTGTGTTATGTTTCACCTTTTCGAGGTCAAAAATCAAAAGTGCTTCAGTTACCCTAATATGTAAAAAAATATATCAATAATAAATAACTTTCCACTTTTTTGCATATTATTTAATCAAATTGAACATTATAAAATTGTACAGCAAAATTGAACCTGCTACAGTTAAAAATGGTGACACAATGACAATTTAAGTAATCAATCTAGTGTCAAAAAAAGTGAAGTTTTGGCCCTTTGTGAAGGCAAGAAATTCACATAAATACACTTGTTTAAAATGGCCACCAATTTGGTCATTTTTTAAAAATTCTTGTAAAAATTGTTCTACACACAACAGACATCTAGTTTTGCTTACATGTTTTTCAGATGTGTGTGTGCTATTATTATACCTATCTTAATTTGTTAAATATTAAAAAAAAACGTTACACCAGATCAAAACGAGACTTGAACGTGACTGAAACCTCAGAAGAGTACATCCTTAAAGGTCAGTCGATCTACGGAGTGAAGTGAGATTTATGCAATTTATTATTTTCTCTTGCTCTAATAGTAAACTTAACGGTGACTGGCTGGGAGGCATGACTGAAATTATACAAAACTATATTTGCATTCGATAGTGTGAACTCTTAGATAATTTCCGTATGCTTGTCCAATATCTAGTTTTTATATAGAAAATAGGCTGACAACCTGCTACTTTTCAAATATTACTTAGGAGGAAAGATAGTGTGTTAACCCAAAAAACAAACTGCATTTATATAAAGATCTCACACGCGCGCACATGAGTATATTTGTGATGTTAAATCATTACAATCAAAATTGTTTTTGTAAAATCGCATTGTGCATTCAAATGGTTAAAAACATGTGCTTAAATTACGGAAATGTTCTTTTGTAAATAAAGTCCATATTGAAAAGTCGTGGTAATGTACACAACAGTTCTACGTCACAGTCATATTAATTTAGCAACATTTGGTACTTAACAGCGTATACAAATTTCTTTTCAGTTTTTGAATAGAACTAGGTTTAAACAAAATCAGAGTTTATTGTTGTGACAAAAGTAAAAGCAAATTAACACAACTTGTGTAACAACCAATACAAAATGTCTCTGCAAGTATGCAGAATGCTTACACTTGATTTTTATTGATGCGTATACTATATCTAGACAAGGCAAAGAAAAACAGTAGTGAATACGAGGTCTCCGAGTGAGTAATGTAAGCAGGTCTGAAGCAGTTAAAGAAGACAATCATCTGTAGAGTGTACCTAGCCAGTAAAACACAACTTTTATCGGAAACGTGACTTTCCCTAAAACAAAATCACCTGTGTAACTGTCCCACTGGTATAGGCAATGGGCATCATTGTAAGTACAAAACAATGTTAAAGATCTTTACACAAAGATTCTTCATCGATAAAGTACAGAAGTTTCAACATATGGCATACCTTACTAGAAGTACCTCGAATTATCACGGTTTGACGTGTCTTTATGACCGATGTTATCGACCACCAGGCTACTAAGTACAAGCAAATGTATGTTACTATCTATTCATGACTTGCAGGGGACCAGCCAGTAATTTCCACATTACAATGAAATACACGTACTTGCGACAGACAGATGAACATGGTAAACAGTTGAAAAATTAAGGCATGAGCTGTGGTAAAACAGGCAAATGTTTTGTCGCATAAAAACCCCATTTCGGAGATGGTTAATATTTCCTGCTGCTAATCCCAAAACTCGTTGTTAGGAACACTATGACCATATCATGAAATTTGTCGTTTTTGATGTTTGATTATATTCCAGTAAGTGTCGGTCGAATGTTTGCAGTATAAACAATTCAGACACGAGTTGCTAAATGGTTTGTCTAAATCGTTCAGTAGAAGGAAATATTAAATAATATTATCATCATTTCTAAATACAGGATATATATTTATAAGCCTGACTGTACAGGTTAGCTGCTCGAATATTTAAAACTTGCCCACATCTTATCAGTAAAAATCCCGTCGTTAACTGGTATAATTAGGCAAAAAAAATGTATGCTACATGTACCAGGCATAAACAAAATCTGACATTCATTGTTAAAGGTCAGTCGATCTACAGAGAGAATTGAGATTTATGCAATTTATTAGTTTCTCTTGCTCTAATAGTACACTTAACGGTGATTGGCCTGGAGACACGACTGAAACCCAGCCAGAATTATACAATACTAAATTTGCATTCGATAGTGTGAATGTACGAAAAATCCATGGACACTCCCTTATATAATTTCCGTATGCTTGTCCAATATCTAGTTTTTATATACAATATTGTGCTGACAACCTGCTACGTTTCAAATATTACTAAGGAGGAAATATAGTGTGTTAAACCAAAAAACAAACTGCATTTATATAAAGATCTCACACGCGCGCAAATGAGTACATTTGTGATGTTAAAACATTACAATCAAAATTGTTTTTGTAAAATCGCATTGTGCATTCAAATGGGTAAAACATGTGCTTAAATTACGAAATATTAGATCAGTCCAAATCATTTATTCAGATAACTTGAGTCAATCTCATTTTGATGAAAAGAGCAGTATTTTATTTCCAATTTTGTTTTGTTTTTGTACTCAGATTATTGATCAATTTCAGAATGAACGCAACACGTATAACGTTAAACATCCCATGAATATATACATCTTGCTATTGTTATCTTTAGTGTTTTCTTTCAAAATCAAACAGAAACATCAAAACTCATTTCAACATTCGAGATGGGTTCGTTTGATAGTATTTTAAATATATACCCATTGTCATGTCTTATCGCTTTCACAGCCGGTGATTTGATTCCCTGATCGGACGTGAGATGGTATTGACTACGTAGGTTTTATTCGGGTACTTCAACTTTCTTCCACATCTGAGCCATCAAGAGTGATTAATGTATAAAATGGAATAAACTTGTTTCATAATTGTTGGAAAAGAGATACAGTTGATACAAATGCCTTAGCCCGAGGGGCTTGAATCACAAGATGGTCACCCTTGAAGGTAGGGGATCGAGAAAAGGAATAAACCTGCTGTTACCCAACTGCATGTATCGTAAGATTCGACTAATGCGGAATCCCCCTGCAGAATTTGATATTTGCTTTTGTGCCCTCTTCATTAAGAAACGAAAGCGAACAAAATAAATCTGCTGCAATCATTAAAATATTTTTGACTTTTATATTTCTCTCTTCTTCTAAAAACCATTTATGTTTCCTAGCGTCTTCCTTTCTAGTTGTTATTCTCTGATTAACGTTTGGCATTTAGGAAAATGGCAAAAACTAGTTCATCCGTTGTCAGTATAATGTACCTGGCCAAATGCTGTGCTGGGTGCCTCCTGTTAGGCTCAGTGACAACAAGAACATGGCTGCCGGTCAAGCTTCATTTATTATAAGTGCGCATGTGCAACATCATTAAAGAAGGGAGGCAATCATTACATAGAAGGGAGACAAATCTAATCGCACTAGGCGTACTTTACACAACAACTCCCCTTTTAGCTTTGAATTATATATATGAAATGAAATACATGTATATCATTCAATGATGATAAAACAATTAGAAATATAATTATTTCAAATGCAATTGCAAATTAGATGTTTTTACCAGATATCAATTAATTGCAATGAAATGTAAAATTGAACTTAATTCAAACTATTTTAGCACAGTTCTCATATAGGTATGAAATGTTAAGAATGTAACTTCACTGGAAATCCATTGTCACTTGAAATTGGTTGATTGAATAAAATTAAAATTTTAAATCAATTTGACTGGTCTTGAGTATTCAATTCAATAAATGATCAATATGGAACTGAATGAACTTATAACTTGATTACTAATGTCGACAGTTCATCAAGAAATGAATTATAACATATTTACAATAAGATTTAACCAAAACTAACTGAGCTTAGGTATCCTACCCGCTCAGAGGTAGATAAGAGGATTATTCTGCCTCTTTCGGACACTATCTACCTGTCTAACTATCAAATCTGAGGTCTGTTAATCACTCGACCACTGACTCGACTGATGCGCGGTTGTTCAATGGTTGGTGGTGAACTGACAGTACTGTTAGCACTAGGTTCTGGGTTCGAACTCAAACTCTGATCGATATCATCTGGAGATGGCGTAGTTGACGAGGTATCTGGCAAAGTGGATGGAAGTTCGATTACACATGATTCTCTATGATTTTCCTGCGTTTTTAAGAGATGGCGACGATTCCTTCTGTAGAACTTGTTATTGTTGTTACGCACAATGTAGGATCTCGGTTCTCCAGATTCCTTGACAACTTGAGCTGGTTCCCAAGTATTAGAATTATCATCTCGCATTCTCACAACATCTCCAGGTTTCAAATCAGGTAGTGACCTTGACGATCTGTCATAGCACTTCTTATTTTGCATCTGTTTCTCCTGTAGCTGATATTTGACTTTTGTTGTGTCATAATGTGGCTTGAGTAGCAAAGTTCCGGTTGGCAAAACTGTTCTGGTTTTCCTTCCCATCAATAACTCAACAGGAGACATATCAAGCCCTGAAACCTTGGTGTTGCGTAGCTCTAGAATAGCTAGGTAGGGATCTCTCCCATCCTCATATGCTTTTCTCAGCAGTTTTTTTTACAGTTTGTATAGTGCGCTCTGCTAAACCATTACTTTGGGCGTACCGTGGAGAGGAGGTTATGTGTTCGATTCCATATGACGCTGTGAACCTACTGAACTCCTCACAAGCATACTCTGGACCGTTGTCAGTCTTGAGTGTTTCTGGTATACCATGACGTGAAAACTGCTGTTTTAGACAGTGAATTACGGTACTGCTCTTTCCATCTGTAAGCTGGTTGATTTCGAAGAATTTCGAATAGTAGTCGACTAGCATGATGTACTTTTCACCATTGAAATGAAACAAATCTGACGCTAGCACTTGCCATGGCCTGTCAGGCACTGGGGGTGGTTTCAGCGGTTCCCTTGACTGTTTATTCTGATGACGATTACACGTACCACACTTAGCAATTTTCTCTTGAAGTTGAGCTCTGAGTCCAGGCCAAAATACAGATTCCTGTTCACGCGACATACACTTCTCAATGCCTAGGTGACTATGATGCAATTTACTCATCATTTCATCGCGCATGCTCGACGGTGTAACGATACGATCACCCTTAAGTAGTAAGCCATCACAAATGCACAGCTCACCACGAATGTTCCAATAATCTAAAACATCTTTGTCACATTTTGATCTGTCATTAGGCCAGCCGTTTAAGACCATGTCCTTGACCTTTGACAGCACAGGGTCGCGGTTAGTTTCAGCTATAAACTCCAACGTTTTATGTTGACTGATGTTTAGCATGACATGAACTTCAAACTCTTCACAGATATCGCTGCTGGCTGTACAATGAACAGGTGCTCTGCTTAAGGTATCTGCAATGTGTAGCGTTTCACCGGGACAATATTTGACCTTGAGATCATATTGTTGAACCTTTAGCATCATACGTTGAATGCGCTGGGAAGCCTGAGATAAGGGTTTTTTGAACAAACTCTCAAGCGATTTGTGGTCCGATTCCACAGTAACTTCTTTACCGTAAACGTACTGGTGAAATTTAGCTAAACCAAACACAATGGCCAGCATTTCCTTCTCTATTTGTGCGTAGTTACGTTCAGCACTGCTTAGGGACCTTGAGGAATAGGCCACTGGTTGAGAGTTCTGCATTAGGCAAGCTCCTAATCCATATGAAGAAGCGTCGACCGATATGGTGATTTCTGCGTTGACGTCAAAGTACTTGAGTACAGGTGCCTGTGTTAGCGCTTGCTTGAGTGTGTCAAATGCTGTTTGATGTCGTTCTATCCAATGCCACGACACTTTGCTTTCCAAACGTTCACGCAAAGGTTGATTAATGGTAGAAAGGTTTGGTATGAATTTACTCAGGTAGTTAACCATGCCTAAGAACCTTTGTAATGCTTTCTTGTCATCGGGAATAGGCATTTCTAAGATGCTCTGTATCTTCTCGTCACTGGGTTTGAGACCCTGGTCTTCAAAAATATGACCAACATATTCTACCTCAGTTTTTCCAAACTTGCACTTGTCAGAATTCAAACGTAGATCAACCTCTTCACATTTGTTGAGTACAATTTCTACTCTTCTATTGTGCTCATCCATGTCTGAGCCCCACACCAGAATATCATCCATGATGACCTCACAACCTTCCACATTCTCAAATATTTGGGTAAGAGTTCTCTGGAACACTTCCGGAGCCGATGTGATACCGAAAGGAAGTCTTTCATACTTGTATCTTCCGAATGGCGTATTAAAAGTTGTAAGCCATGTGCTTTCTTCAGCAAGCTTAATCTGGTGAAATCCGGATGAAGCATCAAGTTTTGTAAATATTTTCGCAGACTTGAGATTTGCAGCAACATCTTCAGCTGTTTTCAAGGGATAGTGCTCCCGCTTAATGGCTTTATTTAAGTTACGTGGATCTAGACATATCCTGACGTTCCCGTTTGGTTTCCGTACTATTACAATAGGATTGACCCATTTCGTAGGTTGCTGAACCTTGGTGATAATTTTAGCTTCCTCCATTTTCTTAAGTTGAGCCTTAACTTTGTCACGGAGCGAATGAGGAATCTTTCTCGGAGGTTGCACGACGGGGGCACGCTGTCATCGATCTCAATCTTGTGCTCGCCAGGTATGCATCCAATACCCTTGAATATTTTTCTATGCTTGGCCTTGATCTCATCAAGTGTAAGTTTCCGGTCAGCTGTACATACACGCTTAATTAACCCCATTTGAACCCAACTGTTAAGTCCGAGAACTGGGACGGCATTATCATCAACAACTTGTACCTCAATCATGTAGTACTTTCCATGGTAATCTAAGACAATGTCAGCTTTACCTATGGTCTTGATACGGTGTCCTGTGTACGATACCAGGTTAGCCCTCGATTTACGAAATTGAGTAACCCCGGCCTTTTCACAAAGGTGTTTAGGCAGCACATTACACTGTGCACCGCTGTCGATTTTGAACAGTACACGCGTTCTGTTGATCTTGGTGTTGACGAACCACTCATCCGTAGTATCTGTAGCCTTTGTACTGCGATCATGTACCGTACCGATGAAAAACGAATCCGACGCGACGTTGTCAGAGTCACTATCAGAATAGTCTACTGTACACGTGTGTACCTTGCCTGTGCCTTGATTTCTGTGTAGATCCTGTTCACACATATGTGCAAAATGATTCATCTTTTTACACTTGTCACACTGTTTTCCGTAAGCCCGACAGTATTTTGGACCTCTAGGATGTGATTTACCACAAAATCTACAGTTATTACGAGCGTTAGATTGTTTAAAAGGCGGTGGCTTCCTCGGTGTGTTGCTGAACTTCTGCGGTCTACTCTGAGTAGCCAGCTGAGACTTATGCTTATCACGCTTATTAGGCTTAACTGCATGGACGACCTTTTCATCATTCAACTCTTTAAGCTGAACCTCACTTGCTTCCGCTGCTCGACAAATGTCAATACATTTCTGTAATGTCAAGTCTTTCTCTCGTAACAGCCTAGAACGAACAGCATCGCTTCTAACCCCACAAACTATTCTGTCACGAATAAGGCCTTCTTTTAGTGTATCAAACTCACATGTCGAAGCCTTGTTTCTCAAATCAGTTACAAATTTCTCAAATTTCTCTCCCTCTCGCTGATTACGGGTGAAAAACATTTGCCTTTCATACGTTATATTTTTCCTAGGATTGCAGTAATTTGCAAACTGTTGATAGATTTCAACGATTTTGTACTTATCTTCATCATTCGCCCAGGTAAACTTGTTGTAAATTTCCAGGCACTCAGCTCCGACCACGTGGAGTAGGGTCATCGCCCTGACTTTTCCCTCTTTCTGGTCCACCCCCGACGCTGCCTCGTAGATTTCATATTGCTGCTTGAATCTACGCCAGTTTTCCGCTAAATTGCCGGAGAGATTCAGGGGCGGTGGCGGCGGTAACTTGTCCATTACCCCGATTTAGTCTGACACCATGTTAGGCTCAGTGACAACAAGAACATGGCTGCCGGTCAAGCTTCATTTATTATAAGTGCGCATGGGCAACATCATTAAAGAAGGGAGGCAATCATTACATAGAAGGGAGGCAACTCTAATCGCACTAGGCGTACTTTACACAACACCTCCGGCAAGGAGATAAATACAAAAGCATACCCTGGCTCCGGCACACATACACGCATGTATGCACACATACACGCATGGAGACATGTCATTTGCCCTAGCTATTGATAGGACGTTAAACAAAATAAAGTCAAACCAACCCGAGATGGGTGGAGGGTTGATGCAGGGTATGCTACAGAAATGGTACAATTGTTACATTTTCTGTTATATGCTTTACATTGTTTTTAGTTTAGTGCAACATCAAAGTTGTTAGCTTTACACATCGTGCGTAACCTAAATTACAACTAATGTGTGAATTTCACTCCTAAATTGCTGAGCGTTAAGCAGGAGTAGAAACTACCATTTTTACAGACTCTGGTATGTCTCGGCTAGGGGACAGAACCCAACGCCTTTCTCACAAGGGCGAATGCTCAGCTAAAGGCTAAAAGTGAGGCATTTTCAAGGGAGACATTTGGAAAAAGAAGAAAGTTGTTTAGAAAGAAGAGAAAAGATAAGATCCCAAATTTAGACGCCTCTTGCGATCATGTAATGGGACAGCAGATAGCTTTCTTACGCCCTACATGCAGGGACGCAAAACACTATATAACTCTAGTGTACAGACCCGTACACGTTCGCTGTTCCACTTTCAGCGTACCGTTTGCGTAGCATTTCCGTACCGTTTGCGGAGCACTTGCGTAGCATTTTCGGCCATGTGGTAATGACCTGTCCCTTGTTTAAGGTATAAACAACTTTAGTGTTCGTTATTAAGGTTGTTAGAGCAACATGACTACCCGCTGACAGATACATTTCTTTCAATATGTTATCCTATATACCTGAGACTCTAGGCAGTGATAATGCATTGACCATTCACCTGTGGTCACATTGGATTCTGATGTGCTGTACCTGATCAAGGTCACATTCTTTGATTTCAAGGCAATTAAGTCCATGTCAATTAATCAAGTTCATTGTCTATCCATCACGTACATCTGTATACAGGTAAATCAGTTCAAGGTAAAAACCTACAGGTAAGATACTTTGGCTGTCCCTCGATCAGGAAATGACAGCCCCAGGCACAATTACATTTCATAACAGTGACTTAACCAAGGTAAACTAATATTTAACTTGGAATTACTAATTTAATAAAAAAAAAATGTCCCTTATTAGGATATTTAACTTCTCACGTAGATGTTTTGTTTTAAAACTAATCTATTGTTATTTTAGATAATCTATCGTGAGTTCTGCTATCAGCGAGCAAGGTTGAATACTAACCCTAATACGTAACAAACTTTTCATATCAGATTAAAAATGATGATATTTTTCAGTAATCATTAAAAAAAATCATTATGTAGATAACTTTATTGTCATCATGTGACTGAGTTCCTGAGAAAAAAGAGTGTGATTCCTTGTTGTCTATAGCAGAGACGTATATATTACAATACGTCTCTGTATAAAGTAAGTTTGATAACGGAGTAACCTCCCTGTGTGTGGTAATTATAAAGGTGTCAAAAATCAGTCAAGCGGTTCCGGGCTAGTGTACCTATGAACTTACATGGTTCAATGAAAAAGATAATTGACCTTTTACAGCTGACCAATTAGTACCACTAAGCGCCTTTAGCAAGTTACACAGTGGACATTGTATATCAGAGGCTGGGATTAAACTGGCCTAGGGTATATTTGGAAATATCATATTAACGACAACAAGATTTATTTATTAATTAAAGAAAGGTTTATTGATATTTTTAGAGAAGAATGTGCAGAAAAAAATAGAATATTCTCAAAAGCAATTTTTTATAGATATA